GCGCCCGTGGTGATGGACGGGGGGGATTGTGGCGGGGAGGCGGGTGTGAGGGGCACTGTGTAGGGGGAGGTGGGGGGAGGCGCGAAAAGCGGAGAGGAGAGACTGAAGGAAATGGAAGCCGAGATGGCCCTGTGAGTAGAGGAGAGCAGGCCTAAGAGGGGCTCCGGAGAAGCCCCCGGTGTATTCCGGTTGTTTGGGCAAAGCCTCCTTTAAATTGAGCTCGACCCTTCGGGTGACTTCGTATACGTGCATTCCCATAATCCCCAACTCTCGGCCGCATTGCCCGGGCTTATGGGACCTATGGCCCCAAATATCGGGCGGCCACCAATTCCCCCGCCCCCGCCCCCGTAGAGGACAAGTGAAGAGTAAAACACGTCTCCGAATGGATTGTCCCCGAATGTGTTGGGACGACAGTTTCCAGCCTGGTGGGATTTTTGGGAGCTGTAGTCTTAATACATTTTTGATTGATCGATCGATCGATCGATTGATTATGTGCCATCAAGTCATTTTTGACTCCTAGGGACCACATAGATAGATTTTCTCCACGACGATCTATCCCTAACCTGGTCTTTCAGGTCTTCCAACAGTGACCCTGTCATAACTGATTCCTTCCACCTTGCTCCTGTCGTCCTCTTCTCTTTCCTTCCACCTTTCCCAGCATTAGACCTTTTCCAGAGAGCTGGATCTGCCCATAATGTGTCCATTATTGGGTTAATTTGTTTGATGATCCATTAGTTTGTTTTCTTGGCTGTCCATGGTCAAGACTTTTCCTATCCTGCTTCCATCGAGTGTCACAGGAATACCATGACTTGCATGATTCTGATCTTTGTAGGTATGGACGCATCACAGCATCTGAATATCTTTTCCAAGGCCTTCATGGCTGCTCTACCAAGTGCTAGTCTGCAGCATATTTCTTGACTGCTTGTTCCTTTATTGTTGATGGTTGATCCTAAAAGGCAGAAGCTCACCGCTTCAGTGTCTTCACTGCCAATTCTCAGGCTGTTGTTCTACCTGTTATTAGTTTGGTCTTCTTTATATTTAATTTTAGTCCCATTTTTTCACTGTTCTCTTTCACTTAGGGGAACAGTGAAAAATTGAGGTTTTTTTTTTTTGTCTGTAAGAATGTTTGGAGCTTGGAAAAAAGGCAGATGGACATCCTAGGAAGCTGAGTTGGGAATCTACAACTCAGATTCTGTACTCTGCACTCTTGTTCTCCACATTCCATTCCTAGCATGAAGCATTCCTAGCATGAAGCAAATTATGATATATATATTCCAGAACTTGCTAATTCTCCAATTTAGCTTCTGTGATGGCTTCAGTTTGCATAATGCAGGTCATTTTCAGGCCTGGAAGATCTGCTTTGTTTTTTATTAAAATGCTAAGATCTATCTATCAGTTAAGAGTTTGGGAGAAAAGCCACAGAGTTAAAATTGAATGGATCTTACCGTCTTTGCACATAGAAATTAACTGTGGATTACCCCAGGCTTTCTTTATTGTAGGATATTATATGTTCATGTGGGTGAAGAGTAGAAAAGTTGTTTTTGCTGCTATTGGTAATTCCTGACTTTAAGAATTGCCTTTTCATTGTGTTCTTATCCTACTTTTCTGCTATTGATTTAATTTTCAAAACTTTGTTAACCACTTGGTATGTATAAATGGCTTTTTAAAAAAATGATATTAACAGTGCCCTTCCTGTGAGATACATCAAGCTGGCCGATAGTGATTGGCCCACTCGTTGAGTTTCATCGTTCTGTGATAATTTAATTTTTTTTTTTGTAGCTTCAGGAAAGGAATATAAATCTAATCAGAAAATAGAGCCAAGCAACTGATACTAATTGCTGTTGAGATGAAAGTGAAGTGTTTGAATGTTCAAAAGCATAATACAGCTACTGATGATCACTTCCAGGTTTGAGCAGGAAGTGCTTGGAGCTCCTGTGTCTCTGCCTCCTGTTGCCCCTGTGGTGGAAGCTGTCCCAGTTGCCCTAGCAGTACCAGCGGTGTCCGCGGTGCCCCCTGTTCCCGTCATCCGACCCATCATTGCTACCAACACTTATCAGCAGGTGAGCAATATGTTTAATTATATTCTTTGTAATCCAGGATGCTTGAATGTTTTCAGTGGAATACTTAAAATCGGTGATAGGTTTGGCTTTGTCATTGGAAAGACAAGCTGTATAGATCTGAGTTTCAGACCTCATTTTTCAAGCAGGCTTTTTGTTCTACATCACCAGATAATTTTTGTTTGCTGGTTTGAAATACGGGCAGTAGAGTGTCAGCTGATGCTAAATAATTCCTTGGTTTTCGTTCCCCTGGGTCTTGCTCATAGGCTACAGGAAAAGCAACCACTTTTCCTGTTCTGCCCAACACAGTGCTAAATGCAAGGCAGATGTGTGATGTAATGCAGAACAAGCAAGAAAATCTGTATTAGTTTCCCTCATCTTTGTGTGCTATGATCATATTGTCTAACCATACCCAGTCTGGTGCTCTTTATGTACTGACTGGAAATTCTGTACGAGTTTGGAGAAGATAATGTAATCAGTCCCTATTCTTAAGTCAATAGGAAATTAGTATAATGTTTATAAAGAACTAATGGAAGCCCCTGTCCCCTGCAATTTCTTCTTTAGGGAAATCTACCAAAGACTTTTAGGTGCATTGCTTAAAACTACCTAGTTTTCAGCAATGCTTTTGGAATGATTTTTTTTTTTTATTCTTTGAATGGCGATTAAATCCCTTTAGTGTGCATTTGTTTGTTTGATTTATATGAAGAAATGCCATTGCTGACAAATGTGCTAACATCTGTCCAGCTTTTTGCAGCTGGATAAATTGTAAGGGTCTGTTGAAAGGAGTTTAGATTTGTTTTGGGAGAACAAACTTAACAATGGCTAAACGTCATGATGACTATAAGCTACTTTCAGAGTCAGTGGGAGGACTCCTACTCTGAAATACTAGTTGTTGACAAACAAAAATAGAAAAGTCCTTCGGCCTTATTTGATTCCCAGAGATATTTGAAGAGTACCAGTATTTTGGACTAGATGCAAGAATGGGGATGATAAACATATAAAGGACAAAAATGTAACTTCCATACCTGACTACTCATCTTACTTTGCTACCATCTGTTCTTCCATTTTGTTACCTTCATGCCCTCCAGGTCCAGCAGAGCTTGGAAGCCCGAGCAGCAGCAGCTGCCACGGTGGTTGCCCCTATTGTGGCTCCTCCAGTGCCATTTGTGGGCCCAGGTGAGGTTGGTTCCAAAGCATTTGGCTGAACAATCATCTTCCAGCCCCCACAGTAACTTCACCAGTGTCTTTGAAAGAGTAAAGGATTTATTATCCATTTATATCTGAAAGAAGAGAACGGCTCTAGGAATGTTAGGGTTTGAAGCAGGTGCTGGCACAGAAGATTACATATTTGTAGAAGGTATAGTTCTCTGGAGGTTGGACAGGATCTTTGTCATCCTTGACTGTAGACCATGCCATCAGGGGCCTAAGGGAAAGCATATTCCAGAAAGGCACAGGTTCCCCACTCCAGTTTAAGTAATCTAGTTTGTTTGTTTGAGAAACTCTGATTTAAGTTCGTAGAATATTGTCTCCAACGTATCTAGCAGTAGATTTAAGGAAACGCAAAAAGAAAAAAAAAGAATCAGGCTGGATAAGTCAAAGTAAGAGCTGAGAACAGTAATGTTCAAGAATACCCTGAGCTGTATAGCTGCTGAAACAAATAAATTTCATCTGGTTTAAAAATGTGGGTCAGGGTAAAGGCAGAGTTTTACAGTTTAGTGTATTTGAAATGAAGCTGAGATACTTATGCTCTCAACAATTGCAACTCAGGTGGAATATGTCTAATAGGCCTCTTCAGCCGATCCAACTGTTGGAAGGATGAACCTCTTTTAAGCATCCTGATCCAAGTCATTTATAATAGTTTTCCTTGACTAGGTACAGGTCTGCTGGACTACAGTTTCCATAATCTCAGCCATTTTGGTTATGTGAGCTGGGGAATCTGAATATGGTACTCCAGCACACTGGCAGAAATGTAGGTTGGGAAAGACCAGTGTAGGGGCTTAAAGATAATAAACAGCATTACAAATTGGGAGCAGACTTGAGTAGATGCAAAAGAGTGTCTCTTTAGTGCCATCAATGAGGTGAACTTTGTAGGGCAAGTACACCATTTTCTACTCCAGGAATTTAGCTTCTAACCTGCCAACAGCTCCATTGTATATACATTCTACATCGACTTTTGATTTACGGTAACGTGGTAGCAGAAAGCAAGAGGGAAATGACTGCAAGGGAATGATCAGGGTGGTGGAAGAGGGACAGCCACCACTCCTTCTTCTCTGCACCTCATTTAGGAACCAAGTAGGTATCAGAGCTGGGCCGTCCTGTTCTCTGTTCCCCATATAGAATCGCAGTGGGGCTGCAGGAAGAGTGGAGTTTTTCACTCCTCCAGCAGGCTGAGACAATTGCTTCTAGGCTAGAAACCTTTCACTACTCAGGACAGGATATTCCAAGGAGCTTTTAAAGGATCTCTTTTCTTCCAGCTGTTCCCCCACAACGTCCTCCCATTCTCCGACCAACCTTTGTGCCTCATGTCCTACAGCGAGCAGGTAAGCTTTCCTTTTCCTTTTTAAGCCCAGTGGGTGGCGAGCCTGGGGCAGAGGCTCTAATGTGACACCTAGTTCTTGCTGTCTTTTTTATTGTTGTTAGGTGGTCCTCGGCCCATGGCAATGCGCCCACCGCATCACCAGCCCATGGTAGGGCCCCCAATGCCAGGCCCTCAAGGGCCCCCGATACTTATGGGCCCACCAATGCAGAGAGCACCTGGCCCACCCCTTGGGGGCATAGGGCCAATGCGACCTGGTCCCCCGGTAAGTGCCTTTCTCTTCTAGAGCAGGGAAGGGCAGCATGAGCTTTGCAGGGTTTTGAGTTACGGGGCGGTTTAGAATGACACAAAGGGGTAAGTTTCAGTCTGCCGGTATAGACCAAAAGAGCAATGGACATGCTGGTGGCAGAACAGACAGTCCTCTTTTAAAACTCTCTGTTGATGGTCACAGGCTGACACCGTTCTTCTGCAAAGGGGCTGGAGAAGTGTGCACTGGTGTAGCTGACAGGATGGGGCTGAGTTCTGGAGCTCCCAAGGCTGGATTCCACCACAGGAGAGTGTCCTCCTATGGTATTTGTTGGCATGGGTGCTGCTACTCAGTGGTAACTTTTTAACGTTCATAGTCTACACCAGTGTTTCTCAACCTTAGTGACTTTAAGATGAGTGGACTTCAACTCCCAGAATTCCCCAG